CCCCAAAACCCCAAAACCCCAAAACCCCAAAACCCCAAATAAATTATAAGTTATTGAATATTCTTCAAACTAAGTTATCTAAATATTCTGAGCCCATCTTCAGACGAGCCAAAATCGAGCAAGTCTTCATTATTTTTGTCAAATCTCCTCTTTCTCAATAATTTCAGTGCTGTCTCCTCATCTCCATTATAGAGGTTCAGATAGACGAGGGAATGCAGAACAAATTCAGGGATCTCCTCCATTTGAGGCTTGCGAGTTGGATTATTTTCGTCCTTGTTTAACCCTAAGCAATCAAGTGCATTTGAAATAGCATTCCTAGCTTCCTCAGGGATTTCAAGGAAATAATTACAAGTTGCAATATTTAGGAACATGACTGCCCTCTTGGGGAGGTTCTTTTCCAAGAACCCGCTGTTAGTATTCTCAATATCAATGTAATCTTCTTTTGACTCTCTTCCTTTCCTTTCTTCAAAAGCTTTGTCTATCTTGAGACATTTGAATGCTTGCTGCAGGCTTCCCCTAGTGAGATAGATTTCAGCCATGTACATCTTTAAATCAAAGCTCATTTTAGAATTAAGCTTAAAATCTGACTTCAAGATTTTACAGTATTCCAGTGCTTTCTCATCATTCTTGAGAAGCAGATAGGCATAGATAAGGAGCATATATGAGGAATGTGCCATCATTCTATATCTATCTGCTACAGCTTTGCTGTGGAGTCCCATAGAGAAAGAAGGATCGTCATTGATCTCTTCTTGCTTCTTCTCATCTTTTGCCTCTTCCCCTGCCTTGTTCTGAATATGAGGAATGTTTTTAAAATGCTCAGTGAAATCAAATTTCTTAATAATCTCCATAATCTCTTTTTCATTATCTGTGAAGTTCTGGTATGCCACAATAACATTTTCAAGATATCTAATAGCTTGATGAAGTTTCATTTTCTCAGGCACCTTTTCATCAATTTCACCGACTTCAGGCTTTTTAGTTAGGATAGTCTTGCTAGAACTTTTCATGAAGTAGTTTTCTGCTTGATCAACAAAGTTCTTGATACAGGCTGTACCCATCCAGAACCAGAGGGAGAACTTATTAGCATATAATTCTGAGGCCTCTGCTAAGCAATTGACGCACTTTTCGTACTGGCCCATCTTATAGAAAGCTAATCCTAGGTTATACATTATCTCTGCTCTCTTTTGAGAGGTATGATTAGATACAAACTTCATTGGGTTCTTTCCTCCTGCTTGGTTCTGCTTTCCATCAAGTTGAAGGTACCTAGATATTAGATAGTAAAATTACTTTAGGGCCTTTGTTAAGAAGAAGCAAGCTACTGAGTACTTCTTTGTATTCAAGTGTAAAACTCCGAGATTGTTAAAGAAGTATAATGGATGCTTTTGATTACAGTTCTGAAGAATTTTCTCTTTTCTTTTATCAGAGTCCTTCAAGTTTTTATGAGCACTTGGATGAGGAGTTGGACCTCCCTTAGATTTATCACGATCCATAAAAGACATCACTCTGAAGCTATCCTGCTCATTTGTTTCTCCAGATCTTGGATTTCTTGGTAATAAATTTTGTAATGCTTCAAAAGAGTTGATATATGGAACCATGGCATAACATTGTGAGTTGATTACATCTCTCATTTCTTGGTATATTCCTTCTCTATCCTTCTGCATTGCTTTTTGTTGTTTCTCCAACTACATATTAGTCAATTTCTTACTCTTTTAGACCACTTCCTTCTTGTTTCCTCATCTGAATCATGCATTGCAATCCTTGTTTTAAAATACGTTAGGTAAAACTCATATTCAATGATTCATGGGCTCTTGGGAGAGTTAGTTGGATGAGGAAGATAAGCTCCTGTTGAGATACTAAATTCTTCGATTTTGAGTTCATCAGTGGAATCAGCGAACCCTCCCATTTTGGTACCATCATTCTCTGTTGTTGACTTATAGCACATCTTGATATCTCTGACTCTAATTAAATCTGGAAGGAGTCCTTCAATTTTATTCACCATCATTTTAGCAGCCTCTATGTATTGGTTGTCCACCAAGATTTGCAAGCAATTAAAGGCTGATTTCAGAATCAAGAACAACTCTGCTTCATCAGGATGATCAAGTATCTGAATAAAATGTTTAAGAGCGTTGCCATTCATTTGGCTGAGGTATGCAAAGACTCCACAGTTATATTCCAGCAAGTAGTTTGTCTCTGATCCACTTTCTTCTCTCTGCTCGTTCTCGATCAATGATAAGGTTTTATAAGCCTTCTTAGGGTCTTTGCATCCGTCCTTAAAGTATTCAAGAAGAGCAGTGACCATTAACTTTTGTCTTTGAAAAGCCTCGTTCTCTTCTTCGTTGCCTGATTTTTCCACTTGGTCAGATAATCTGGTCACAGCTTCTTCAACAGCCTCGTAATTTGCTTTGCTAAAGTGATCGTAAATGTAATGGCAAGATTCGCCAGAATAATCCTCCATTTCTATTATATTGAATTCAATTAGTTATAAAATGCTTGGGGTTTTGGGGTTTTGGGGTTTTGGGGTTTTGGGG